TGCATCCCTGTGATCGGCTTGCTTCGGCAATTTTCGAAGCTAATGCCGGTTTGCACCGGATGTGCTTTTATCCCTTCCTGGTCATGACGTCACCCGCCCGTGACGCTCATTCTTTCCATTGGACTAGTTGACATTGATGCTCAGACGCATTCACGCTGGGGGCGTTCCCAAAGCGTCCTTGACGCATCGTCTCGTTCCCTTTCTCAGGGAACTATGGTTACAGTCGTAACCTGAGACGATTTCTTTGTCTGTATGGTAATGAGGGGGCATTTTACCTCAGACATATGATGACGCAAGATGCGTGTTTCACCAACTGCATTTACATGAGCACCTTTGGTTTGATTGAAAACAGAATAATTACAATTGAGGATTTAGCCTAGATTTAGACGTGATTATTCAGTAGCCTAAGAGCAGCATCTTTGAAAAATGCGTTATATTTTAAAGGTCCACTGACATGGGGTTATTTTATTATTTTATAATGTTTCCTGGGTTGCCCTTATAATGTTAGTATAGTATACTCTCAGCCGCTGGATCAGAATTGGCTCAGTATTCTGTCATGAACTGCTCGGTGGAAACAGACAGTGGTGATCCAAATGCAGGCTTTATTGAGAGGACAATCCAGAAACAGGTACGAGAGAACAGGCAGATGTCAAAACCAGGTGAGCAGTCCAGATCAGCAAACATATAATGCAAGGATGAGGCAAACGGGAAGACCAGAAACAGGCAGGGAGTCCAGGAACCGTGAAACTAGGAAACACTAAGGAACTAGGAAAACGCTTAGGATGCAGTGAGACACATACAATACTGAGCAAAGAACCAAGGGAAAACTCAGGCTTAAGACAGGTGCGCTAAACAAGATAATCAAACACAGGTGCATGAAATCAACCAAAATCAGTCCAGGGTGAAACCTAAAGGAAACAATAAACTAGGAAGGAGTGCCCCCCAGAGGCTCAAGCGGGCACTCCAGCCGCAGATCGTCACACAGCCACACCCAGGGCATTTACTGTTTTACGGCCATGTACAGAATAAAGAGTTTATATGGTCAACCAATAAACATACATTTTGGGTGATATTAAATGACTTAAACCGTGATATAAGATTTTGGCCATATTGCCAATTCATTCCCTGTGTGACTTGCAATGGCATGTCCACAAACCACAAACCTCTTGCGTTTCGTTTGGTCACACAACAAGGTGTCACTGTAGCCTCAAAGCTTCAGTACTGCCACTCTGAGCTCGATTGCTATGTCTGAGGTAAAACACACGGCCCCTCATTACCATACAGACAAATAAATGTATAAATGTATAAATAAATAAATGTGGAAATAAATAAAAGTAGAAATAAATTAATGTTAAAATAAATAAATGTATAAATAAATAAATGGACATTTTATGTAAATAAATGTTAAAATAAATAAATATATACATTAATAAATATATAAATAAATAAATGTGGAAATAAATAAAAGTGGAAATAAATAAATGTGAAAAAATGCAAAAATACATAAGGAAAAAAAATGTATAAATGCTCATTTATTTATTTTACATTTCTTTGAAAATCTATTTACATATTTATTTATTTACAATTCTTCATATATTTGATAATGTATTTATTTATTCATTTATTTTGGCAGCTTTGGAATTCCATAAATGAAGGTTCTACAAAGGAACATTTATGAAAACACTATGAAAGTAAATAGCAGGGACAACAATGCCAGTATAACCAGAGATTTGTCAATCATAGACATAGAGCCATAAACATGTGTCATCGTATTTGAATACTTCCAAAAAGGCTGTTTAATGGCATGTTCCATTATGACAATTTAGATATCTCCTGGTCAATAATAGTAAAAATGTTTAATAGTTTTTGTTATTGTTATTGTTGGCAAGACTTATCAAGACCAGTGGCGTAGGTTTGATTTTGAAATTGGTGGGGACGGGGACATCAATATATAAATATATTTTAAGTTTTGGTCGAAATTATTGCTAGGGATATATCAGTGTCACTGGATATTGGTAGGGACACGTCCCTAGCGTCCCTACTAAATTCTACGCCCCTGATCAAGACACATAATGCATGTGCCTCTACAGAAACAGTACTTTCACAACTAAACAAATTCAGCATGGCAAAAAGTGTGACAACTAGCCCCGGTCTCCTCTGTATATTGGTTTTAAAGAACAAGAAACTATGCAATGTAACAAGTCATTGTTAATATTTACTGACTTATTGAACATTTGTTGTCAAAAGATTTTACAATAGAGAAAATTAAATGCACTAATCCAACATTTATTTACTGAAATAATGTATAAAATAATAGCAACATTTGCAGCAATGTGCTATATATTTGCTATTTGGTAACAAATTGAGCATCTCACAATCCTCATAAAAATGTCAAGGACACAAATTCTGGCCATTTTTCTTACACAATACTGAGGGAACACAGAGTCTTTAAATGTAGTGTGGCATTTATCAGCGTTCTGATGCAGTCATCTGTAGACTTTTGTGGGATCTGTGTTCAATCCCCTGGGCTCATTAAAGCAGGGAGTGTCTGAGCCAGGCCTGTGGATTTAAACCCCATGCCAAATAAACAACTTCGGCTATGTGTATGTTTATTGCATTTTCTATTAAATAATCTCAGAGGATCCTCTTGACCTTCAGTCAAGACTTATGTTCCTGCTGTGGTTTTGTGTCCATGCACCACTGCAGTGGGCACACACACACACACACGCAGAGAGAGACGTGGCATGATCCATGCACACACACACACCCACGCAGCTCTGACTCAATCACAAACACGCTCTGCAATGCCTAACGCTGGATGTGTCTCAAAACTTATTGATCTGCCTACTTGCATTTTAGGCATCAGAGGTGCTTTCCAAGTCAGTAAATCTCACATTCTAAAAATATATTTATGCACTACTTATAAAGACAATACAATACAATAAAACAAAAACAAAAAAACACCATAAATAGAACAGATATATACACAGAAACACACACACACAGCTGAACTGACTCAGATAGCACCTATAGCCAAAAATGCTGTCTTTTAGCACTAAAAAATGCCAAGTGAGAGATCATTGTTTGTGTCAATATCAATTTGAAAAAATAAGCCAATTCAGCTGTTCAAATCAGCCCAGAATTCCCAGTGCAGCATTTTGCATGTAATTTTTGTACTGAAATATTTAGTAAAATTATGGTTCCAGCAAGTCACCTTTTACACTCAAAGTTTTTACAGTAGAGTACTTTCAATGCCATTTTTTTTCATAATTTAAGGAACTATATGGCTGTTATGGCCAAGTTACATTGTACAATGTTCATTCGTAGCATCTGGCCGTAAATTGTTTTTGTAAAAACAATAGGTAACACATTATTTTACACATCGTACATGTACTTACTACAGTCAAAACAGTATACATAATTAAGCAACTAACCCTAAACACTACTCCTAACCCTAACCCTAGATGTTAATTAATACTACTTAAATGTATAATAACGCTTTAACAAGGGCACCTTGTACAAAATAAAGTGTGTATACCTAAGCCTATATAGGCCTAGTTTAATACTGAATGATTTTAAACTGAATGTCACATCACTGATTTACTCCCAAACAGAGATTTGAGCTATAATCGATTCAACTCTGTCATTTAAAACAATTGTTTTGTTTAACTCATGCTTTAATCGTCAACTCCCCCAAAGCCGCTAATTGAGGTGGGAGAAGCGAGTTCAGCAAGTGAATAACTAATATTTAAATGATTCCAAACGCCATGTACAGTGCTACAGTTTGTTTGTACATAATGTGCTGGTATTAGCCTATTCATAGGCCTATATCGCGATTCGTTTTCTGTTTTAGTCTGTATTGATGAGGTCTTTCGACAATTTGCATGTTTTATTTGTGTATTTATCAATATCATTAGCCTAGTCCAGTTAACGAAGAAGCAGGTCTAAGCGTGAACTCTTTGAACGTCATTTGGTCATTCAGTGCGGACAATGTAGAAAAGTGATGAGAACCAGACGAGAGTTGCATATCCTACTGTACTACTTCGGGCATATATTTAAATGGAAGAAATAGTAAAAGTATCCTATTTCCAATTTTGCCACTGCAATAGATCCAGCGATTCAGTGTCTACAAAACGATAAAAATTTAGTAATTTGCGCATCGGACAGCCTGCTCGCTATTTGAGATAGCTATAATCCACAGCCACGCCGTGACTTACTGAAGCAACACCCTCAATTTTAGCAACACTATTCCCACTTAAATCCAAAAAACAACAAAGATATATGAAAACAATCCGGTTCCTAAGCTTTACACAACATCATTAAACAAACAGCAGAATCACATAAAATGCCAGTTTAGTTCAATTACAGCATATTTTATGTAAGCTATATTAGTTACATGTTGGAGAGTTATCATTTGCAGTAAACTACATGAACTACATTCAACATTTACAACAACATGATAGCAGGGTTCCTTCTTATGATACATTTATATGACATAATAATGTGCTTTCAGGGTTTTCCACGTTTGAAAAGTTACAAATAGTATTTTATGTCATTAAATGACAGTAAACAATACGCGCTGCTGAGTGAATCCTGATGAATGAACATGATTGAGATTTCAGCACTAGTTAGTGGACAGCGCCGAATTAATGATCGATCTGATCATTGTCACTTATTCAGTAAATTAATGGATGGATGAAATACAGCCTGATGTAGTAAACCCGCCATGCAAAATTCACATGCTTTACATGCTAACTAAACACATTAGGCTATTCAGCATCTACCGGTGCTCTATCCAAACGAGATGGTGGCGCCTTTAGGCTTCTGACATTGTAGAAACAACGTATGAGTGAGTAAATATATTTAGCGCAGTGCAACGAAAGAAAAAAAAAGGATATTTGTCAGAATAATGTTGCATAAGTTTTGGTGGGACGTAGCGCACCTCAGACACATTTAGGCTAGATAGAAATGACAAAGCTGAAGTTCAGCAATTGACTCACTTGTTTGGAGAAGGAGTTGTCTGTGCTGAATCTTATCACCACTAAGAATCTCAAAGACTGTCTGTTTATTTCAGTCCAGAGCCGTTTATTCGCGCTGGAGGAGGATGTTTGAAGATCTCCATGAAGAACGGGGCTCTGCTGCATCAGATACATATATAGGATCGGGTAACAGCGACAACTCCACCTCCAGAGCTTCTGAAGCTCCTCTAGACCCCATACTATACCACGTTGAACACAAACCAGGATTCATTAAACACTGCAATGCAACTCAAAGTCTGTGTTTTACATATTGTAAGACCAGAATACTTGCAACATAAAAAAATATATAGGCCCATTATTAATTTATGGTCCAAACACAGGTCTATACCCTGTTCATATGTACAAATATATTTATTATATATATTTATTTATTAATAAAAAGCAGGAATAAAAGTCAATTGAGATTAATCATTTTTTTATTTAGGTATCTAAAACAGCCAAATCTATTAGAAATGTATCTTTATTTTCCCCAAATGAATTGGAAACAGTGATTTGTTTACCCCTGGGTGGGCGGGGCCTATCTTGCAGACTGTATTGTTCAATTCACATTTCAATTCGCATTTATTTGTATCGCTTTTCACAATACATATCGTTTCAAAGCAGCTTTATACGTGTCTATTACAATTTAGAGTGATTTGTTATAGAGGTGACTGTGTCCAAGTTGTGTATTTCAGAAATGTACATACAAATCACACAGTTAGCTATAATGTATTAATTTAAGCAATGTATTTATTTAAGGCAGAAACAATAAGATTATTGAAGTAAGGAATACATGTTTGTTAACAAATGATTAGGATATTTAGAAAAAAATTGCATTTGTGCATGGTGATTCAGAGCTTGCTTCATCTGAAGTCCTTGCAGTAGTTGGCACTCTCTTTTCACAGGTGTTGGGACATCTGAAGTCTTCATAAGAGGCTGGATACAAACTGGATATACTCTCTAGTTACCTCAGGATGGGCATCCCGAGATACAAATAGAAAAGCAAATGAAAAATAATTAGTATAGCTGCTGATAATAAAAGATAATCATGTGAATTTGATCTGATATAACTGGAGTATGCAGTTATGAGATGCATCGAATGTTTGGCTAAAGAGATGTGTCTTTAATCTAGATTTAACCTGAGAGAGTGTGTCTGAGCCCTGAACATTATCAGGAAGGCTATTTCAGAGTTTAGGGGCTAAAAATGAAAACGCTCTCTCTCCTTTAGTGGAATTAGATATCCTAGGTACAGTACTACCAGAAGCCCAGAGTTTTGTGATCTTAAAGAGCGTGATGGACTGTAGGGTGATAGAAGTTAAGTTAAATACACAGGAGCTAAGCCATTTAAGGCCTTTTAGGTCAGTTGCAATACTTTGTAATTGATATGGAACTTAAAGAGATGATAAAATTGTTGTTATATGATCATATTTGCTTGGCCTAGTAAGAACTATAGCAGCTGCATTTTGGACTAATTATAGCTTGTTTATTGAGGATGCACGACAACCAGCTAGTAATGTTTTACAGTAATCTAGTATAGAGGTCATGAATGCATGAACTAACTTTTCTGCATCAGAAACGGATAGCATGTTCCATTGCTTAGTGATGTTTCTGAGGTGGAAGAAAGCTATTTTTGTAACATGAAATCTGATTTTTGAAAGACAAATTGCTGTCTAATTTGACACCTGGGTCATTAACTGTAGAGAATGAAGTTACATTACATCCTTCTACATGCAAATTGTATTCTAAGAGATTCTGTGCACAGGTTTTTGGTCCAATAAGTAATACCTCAGTCTTATCTGAATTTAATAGAAAAAAATTACAGGTCATCCAATATTTTATATCTTTAACACACTCTGTCAACTTGGATAATTTAGAATTCCAGGTCGTGATGAAATATATAACTGAGTTTCATCGGCATAACCGTGGAAACTAATTCCATGTTTTCTTATAATATTACCAAGTGGCAGCATATACAGTATACTGAAAATAGCAGTGGGCCTAACACAGATCCTTGCGGCATTTCATAATTTACTGACGTTATCTTCGATTTTTCCCCGTTTAAAAAGACAAAATGGTAACGGTCTGATAGGTACGATCTAAACCGCCTTAATGCCTGTCCCTGCATACCAGTGTAATTTTGAAGTCGATCTAAGAGTATTTTATGATCTATAGTGCCGAACACAGCACTAAGATCAAGTAAAACTAGTATTGAGATACAGCCTTGTTGGTGCTGTTCTGTTATAGCCTCTTTTAGGGTTGAGCGTTATGGCAAAAATATATCACGATTTCTTTCAGGAAAATCGTGATTTATGATTTCATCACAATTCTTTTCATGTTTATGTTACTATTTTGCAAGTGACTGAGCAATACAGCCAAACTAATTTCCCTATTTAAAAAAAAACGTAGCCTTACAAGGTAACAAAATATAAAAGAAAAAAGAAAGACAGACCATATAGGCAATATAGTGGGCGAAAATAAAAATCTTTATTTCATTATTTTATCTTTGTTATTAAAAATAAGATGCACATTACAAATACACAACATTTATAAACAGTGCTTTATTTTTTCAGCCACAGTAGGTGTAAATAACAGCACCATTCAAATAAGAAATTATTTCTTATTTGATAAGAATATGTAAAATGTGTATGTAATATGTAAAATGTAAAAAAACAAGAAAATGTAAAAAAAAAACAAAAAAAAACCACTACCTAGACTTCAGTTTATAAATTATACATTGATTCTTATTTAAGCTACTGTAATTCTTCAGTGAAGATCAGTGAGTGATTTGCTCTTTTGTTGTTGTATTAACATTAAGGACTAGCGGCAGCATGTTTATTACCGTATATACCCGAATATAAGACGACCCTGCATGAATATAAGATGCCCCCAACCCAACCCAACCCAATGTCAACTTTGTGTGTATATGCCAGTTTAAACCCAATAAGACGCAAATGATAACTTAGTTCAGTACTCAAGCGCTGCAGGCTTTTATACACATGCTTCACATGCTCAGAGCAGCATGCGAATTAAATCTCATTAACATGTGAAGTGAATGAATGTCGTGTTGTACAGTATGTTGGGACGGAGGCACCAGAACTTCAAAAGATAGAATGTACTATAGCACGATAGTGTGGTATCGAATCACAAACGGAATCACAAACGAACCGTTTAGTAAATCTGTAAACGCAGCCCCTAATGCATTCTTTGTATTATCTACCTGAATGTTAAAATCTCCAACCATCAATGCTTTATCGACGTTAAACAATAGGTCTGAGAGAAAACCTGAAAACTCTTTTAGGAAATCAATAAAGGGCCCTGGAGATCTATATACGGTAGCCAAAGCAAGAGATAGTAGGGATTTTTTTCTAATCTGAGTGTAATATTTAGCGCAAGCCCTTCAAATGATTTAAACCTGTGTCCTATTTTCTGAGTAACATTAAGAATATCTCTATAGAAACTAATATCTGTGATCATTTAATTTACAATGACCGCCTTCGGTGATGTTTAGGAGACCTAGCTTTAGAAGTTGTTTTTGTTCACTGATTTTGAGATTTTCTGGTTTAATCACGATCAGATTTTTTCTAGATCCTACAATAGATTTATTGTTTGACCTCACTAACCGAGGAATAGACACAGTTTCTATATAATGAACTAACTCGCACTTCTATCAATTAAGTGGATAGAACAAAAAAAGATTCCAATTATTTACAAAGAGCAGCTTCTGTTCATTACACCATAACATTAAACATTAATTTAGAGCAAATAATCTACTAAACCTTTCATGTCCTCGTCAGTACGTGGCGGGCGGAAGATCTTTTTCCTATTTAGCACCAAAACTTTGGAATAGTCTTCCTAGCATTGTTCGAGAAGCAGACACACTGTCAGTTTAAATCTTTGTGTCAACTAGACTCTCCTGTGAAGGCCTCATCGACACGACAGTCAGTGACACTGATCCTCAACAAACCCGTCTCCATGCCGGCATGATGATTCCAATCTTCAACCAGATAGAACTGGATAAATATTCTGTATGTTCCGATCCAATCTGACTTTTGACCTGTAATGCAGCCTGAATCATAATCATACACTGTTAGTTTGTTGGCCAGTTCTCCAGACTGAGCCTGGTTTCTCCCAAGGTTTTTTTTTGCTCCATTCTGTCACCTGATGAAGTTTTGGTTCATTGGCACTGTCGCCTTTGTCACCTTTGGCTTTTGGCTTTAGTTGGGGACACTTAATATTCAACAATTCACCATTCAGGATTTCGGGTACCTGCGCAGCGACATCAAGAACCCGAGCACCAGGAAAGCAGTGACTGCGCACCTTACCTTTAGCTGTGGTAGCGTGGACGTGCCGGACAATGGAATCACAGATGAATCAGCCAGGGCCCGTGATGTGTCGGAGTGAAGGAGGGCTGGGATGATTGCGTTCTGGGTGCTTTGGTCCTGTGCAGAGAAACACACAGAGTAGAGGAGGTCGGGGTGATAATATTACTTACAACGGACTTGTGAGCGTCAGCCCGTGATGTTTCTAGCACTGATCACCCGTCCCGTAGCTCAGCCTGCTTCTCTAGTAGGTCGCGTATCTGCTTCTCCAAGGCCTCCAGCTCCAACTGCTCTGAAAAAACAGTAATTTCTTGAGTGATAAGAGTGTAAACAAGACGAGCGATGGGCAAGACCACAGTAGTGATGCTAGCGGGCTGAAGCTAGTAGCGGATGTTCGGAAAGTTGGATACAAATAGCGATATCAAAGTAATCCGATTATGTTTGATATAGAATATTATTTTGGATATGTTCACCCGCTGAAAAAGAGAAAATATTAGTTTATAAAATAAATATTAGTTTATAAAAATTGTTGACATGTTGACCTGCACAAATAGAACCAGACAGTGTTTACACTCTTCAAATGTCAACCATATTGCTTTCTTATTAGTATCACTTATTAGTCTTACGTTAAACTGAGATATGAGAAAACATTTTAATAATTTTAACATTTCTCTTACTTTAGACTCAATTTCCATTATGATTTATTGTATTCATTGTGATTTATTTTTGTCTTGGGATCTCTATTCTGTCAGGACCACTATCTTCAAATACAATTGACAATTAGCATACAGTTAGGATTGGCGGTATGGTTCTGTTCTGGGCAAGAACTCCCTGCGCATC